TTTCTTGTTTCAGAATTTTCTTGAATCAATTTATTTATAGATTCTGTATTAGAAGCTACACTTGCCGTATTCAGGTCCAATCTTGTTGTCAAATCATTCAATTTTTTTGTGTTCTCCGCTGACTGCTTTGTCAATGCTTCCAAAGACTGGTTTATTTTGAGCAATGCCTGTGTCATTGACTCCATAGATGCAGTTGCTACTTTTTCCTGTCCAGCTGGTGTTATGCCTTGCATCGAACCCCTTTTCTTTTGAGCTTGCTGAGTTTGTTTTGCTTTTGATCTAGTTGTTATCTCTTCTGGTTGGCCACTCATATCCTCAAGGTCAGTTCTCACAGGAAAGGTTTGCAAGTGGAAAAATCCACTCTTTTTCTCTCACTGTAGCAGATTCTCTTTAAGTCCTCTAGAGGGAGCATTTAATTGTATCCAGTTAGAAAAAAGTCAGAAAAACATGAGGCAAGGAACAAAGAGTCCAGAAAACAAAGAGCCCAAAAGTCCACAGTTAAAGTTCTTATTACAGTTTCAGTATCCTCAGATGTTCAACAAAATAACTCCATTAAAATCTCATAACTTTGTTTCAGTCAAAACCCCAACTTTGTATCCAGTTTAAATTGACAGTTCACTTTCCCGGTGCCTTACTTCGGCAGCCCGTCTCAGGGTTTTGACAGTGGAAGATCTTTTTCCTCAATTTACTTCCAGCAGGTTTGCAATGTCCAAATTTCCTTCCCCCCTTCTCCTGCTTATTGGGGGGAAGTTTAAGTCAGATGTCAGGTTTTGACAGCCTAAAAGTTAACCTTCATTTAAGTGCAGCTTTGCTCTTTCGTTGCTTTAATTGCCATGCAGTCCGGGGAGGCAGACTTCCTTACTTTATGCCTTTCCCGTTTTCAGCCAAATTTCCAAAATTCAATCTAAATATCCCGTTCACATCTGTCAGTCTTACTCACGGGTTTTATGGTCAAATTCCAGTTTCAGGAAGGAATCGGCGCTCTCCGTTCAATGGCGACGCGGCTTCACTCCGCAGGCTGGGTTACGACTCTCAGCACCGCGCTCACACCCGATGCCGCTCCGGAGCCTTTAAAAAGGCTCTTTTGCAGTACCGGGGGGCGCAAAAGGTGCCCGCCGAGTCTCCTTGTTCACAGGCTTCAGCGCCTGTGATTTTAGGGGTCCCCCGCTCGCCGTAGCCGGTCAGACCCGAACTCGCGGAGCAGTCCTCCCTCGGAGCTCGAGGCAAGGACCGCCATTAAACGCTGGCGCCGACCGGAAGTCTCCGCTTCCCGCGCTCTCAAGGACCCGGGAGAAGGAAGGCGTGAAGGGAATCCCGAAGGCGCGAAAACCTCGCGCATGCGCAGGCCTTCCGCCTGCGACAGCCCAGTAGGCCGGCCGAAGCGAGCGGCGATGGGATGTGGGAGGGAGCTCGCTCGCCGCCCCGCGTGTGCCTATGTGGGGCACGTTACAGCCCTGTGACGTCAGCGCCACGCAGGCAGCCAGGCAGGCAGACGGCGAGAGCCCTGCGCTGGGCGGCCTCTCCTCGTCGCCGCCACCCCGCCTCTCGCCGCCCGACTCGCCCGCCTCCCTCCAGGCAACATCTCGCGGCACACCAGGCAACGTCTCGCGGCACACTAGTGTGCCGCGGAACACCGGTTGGGAAACACTGATCTACAGTATATATTTTATCCATCAAATTTCCACACTTAGATGATCATATAGAAATAAAATCAAATATTTTAGCTATTCCAATGTCTTTAAACAATTTTTAAAAGCAACAATGCTGTTGTTTCAATGCTGTTCTTCTCCTTAGCTCAGAATCTTTAAATCTTTCTGAGTATCTTTCTGGAGATGCCTGAAGTGGAATTTTGGCCAAGCAGCAGTTTGGACATGGTGTACTTGGCACACAGATCCTCACCGCTTCCTTCTCACTATCTCTTTCCCTGAACATTTTTATTACCTATTGTACCACCTTCATTTTCTACTACATTCCTGTTCCTAGTCTCTCACTACCAATACTACTACCACTACAGCTCCACATATACAATGTCCTATAACCATCATTCTTTGCAAGGCGCAGGACAGTCATCAGATTCTCCCATTCTACAAATCATTCCATTAATACATACTCTTCCCTCTGTCTCAAGGACATGTAGGAGCATAGGAAGCCACATGCAGCCTTCTCTATCCAGGCTTCAGATCCCCCACTTCACAGGCCACATCCTCACTGCTTCATGCCTCAAGTAATTTTGCCTGACTGGAATGCATCCTGGGATAAAAACTATTACATTATTATTATTATTATTATTATATTATTATTATTATTATTATTAATGCTTCTTGTAACACTGCATTAAATTCCACAAGATAGACACTGCTGCATTGCTAATATTTGAAACTGTGTTCTGCAAACTTGTGGAAGCCCATTTTGTCAAATGAAACAGACCTCTCTCTTGCTGAAAACCTAGAGCGGCCCTACCAGTCAATGAGCTAGACTAGTATGGTATAGTAAGACTGGCAGGATAAGATCAGAGTGCCACATTAAGGCAACTGTTTCGAGATTTAAGCATTTAGCTACAGTGGTACCTCGCAAGACGAATGCCTCGCAAGACAAAAGGGTTTTTGGTTTTTTTAGTTGCTTCGCAAGACGATTTTCCCTATGGGCTTGCTTTGCAAGACGGAAACGTCTTGCAAGTTTGTTTCCTTTTTCTTAAAACCGTTAATACAGTTGCGACTTGTCTTCGTGTGGTAGTCTTTTTTGAGGTTTTTGAAGACTTTGGTGATTTTTGAAGCTTTTCCAAAACTTTTCCGAAACCGTGCTTCGCAAGAGGAAAAAATCGCAAGAGGAAAAAACTCGCGGAACGAATTAATTTCGTCTTGCGAGGCACCACTGTACTAAGACATTGCTGCAGAAACAGGATGTGTACAATCTGTCTAGTTTCAGACACTGAACATTTAACCAACTATTGCAAAGATTGTTTGTATTTCACATGACATGTTGAGTGTCATATTTACACATGTACTAACCTTAACCCATAGACGTGAACCAATGGGTCCCACTGCCCATTGATACCAGAGGACCATGAACAGGTTACATTTAGGGCTGGGCAATATATTGCTATAGCGTCCAAAAATGAAGTTCATTTCATGATATTGTTTCATAATTTTTGACCTGGCAATATGTTGTGGATCATGGTGCATGTGTGTGCTGAGCAAAAATCACAATGTGGGGAAAACCATGAAGCCAGTCAATGCATCTACATAGTTCCATCCTTATTTCAGACATCAGTATCAGACTTATTTCAGATATCAGTATAGCTGGTGCTATATCACGAAGTTGAAAATCAGCTCCATGGTTATTTCAGACATTGTGATATAGCAGTATATTGCAGTGTTTAGCTTGATGATATACTGTGATGTTGAAAACCAGGTATCACCCAGCCCTAGTTACATTGGCAGGTTACATTGGCTAAAGAAGAACAAGAGCAAATCTCACAGAAGTGTAAAACATCTATGTACAACTGTACATCAACTAAGAAGGAAAAATAATTTTACTTGTGGGGGGTCCCCATGTGTTTGGTCAGGGGCGCCGACTTATAAAAAATATTGGGGGGCCCATACCGGGGTCCTGCCCCGGGAAGTTTTCTAAATTTTGACTTATTCATCTCGCGGGGGACGGCCGGGGCTCTCCGGCTAGGGCGCGCGGCTGGCTGGCTGGCTGGCGAGGGAGCAGGTGGGGAGGAGGCGGGGGACGGCGGCGGCGCTCTGCTGGAGGGGCGCCCGAGATTATTGGGGGGCGGAGCCCCCCCAAACAAATTTTTGAGGGGGCTCGGGCCCCCTCAGGCCCCATGGAGTCGGCGCCTATGTGTTTGGTGGAACAGAGGGAATAATGGGGGTGACACTCTTGAGAATAAGACATCTTTGTTTCAGTAATTACTTACACCACTGGTGGACAGATCTGACTTGGAGGAACTACATTGTTTAAACTACCGGTAGTACAAGGTCTACCAACCATACTCAAGTTTAGGAGACCCACCCCGCAGAGTACAAAGTGCACGAGTACATGCTCAGTTCGGGGGGGAAATTTCAGGACCAGAATTGAGCTCACAGCCCCCGAGTCTTTTAGTAGCTGCTTTTGTGACGTAACAGTGAATCAGAAATTGTTGCAGAGCTCCTGCAAGCCACCCAGAGATCAACCAATCTACATTCTGTGAACCCCGTTTCCCACAATATTATCATGAAAGCCACTCATGCAGGCGAGGGAGTGGGCTGGCGAAGGAGGAACACTTTATCTGGCTTCTGGGATGCTCAAAAGGCTTCTGGGATGCTTTAAACGTCACACACATATGAATGAAACTCATATATATGAAATTTCATATATATGAAACTCTTGCTAAGAGGTTAGTATCCTGCATTTTCATTCTGATTGCAGAGGAGAGGGGAGTCCACTTTTCTGCAGCCCACATAGAAACAAGACTATTAGCCTCTTTGGTTACGGGGGGCGGAATGTGCCGGTCAGGAACTTTTGTGGGCTTATTGGCAATGCTGAAATGTAAAAGAAACACGCCGAGAAACACCTGGCTTGGGAGACACAGGTTGCACTGACATTTATCCCTGACAGGAGCTCCAGGCGGCACGACTGGTTTTCCTCCTCCTCCTCCTCCTCCTGCCTATTCTCATTCTCCAGACCCCCCTGCGAGGCGGCCGAGGCCGGGGGAAGCCGCCCAATCCCCCCGGGCCCCCCGGCCCTCGCTCCCCGCCTGGATCCTCCCCGACCCCCTGCGAGGCCAGAGCCAGGCCGAGGGAACCAGGCCCCGGCGCGACCTTGGCCCCAGGCGGCCCACCCGGCGGGGAGGCTGGGCGGAGCTGCCGGGCGGGAGACGGGCGCAAGACGACGGGGAGGAGCAGGAGGAGGAGGCCGCCGCCGCCGCCGCCGCCGCGCAAGTCCCGCCACTCACCGCTCTGTGCGCCAGGCGCTGCGCCCCGAGGAGCCCCGGAAACATGGCGCTGCTGGAAGCCGCCGCGTCCTGCGCCTCAGCCGCCCCAGAGGAAGCCCCTCCCCGTCGCCCACTCTGAGGAGAGAAATCTCGCGAGAGCTCGTGGAAGGAGGCGCCCAGGGGCGCGGAGGTGAGGGAACGAGGGCGGGCTGGCCGGGTGGGGGGAGGAGGAGGGGCGCCCTGGCTCTGATTGGTCGGCGGCCGGAGGCCCCTCGCGGGGTTGTGGCCGGAGCGCCGCCTCCTGGCCAGTCCCGCCCGCCCGCCGACTTCTGAGGGGCCCCGACGGAGCCGCGCGCTCTTGAAGCCGAAGGCGCTTGGCTCCGCCGCCCGGGCCCCAAGGGCCTCCTCCCCGTCGCCGCCTCCGGGAGCCTCGCGCCCAGTTGGGCGAGGGGGCAAAGAAGCGGGCGGAGCCTTTCGCCAGGCGCCCCGGGGCCTCGGCCTCCCTCGCAGCCCTCCAGGCTGCAGGCGGAGCCCAGCTTCCCTGGCTAGAAGCCCGTGGTGGACTTTTAAAGCCGCCCAAGTTAGTGAGCAGACTGCACCTTGCGGCCACGTTGGCGGGGCTTCTTATTATATTAATGTATGTCTCTCCCCCCCCCCCAAGAACTCAAGGTGGCTTACTATTAAACAGCTTAGAGCATACAAAAAGCAATCATTAAAAGCAAGGATTGGTACAATTAAAATACATACATACAAAAATATCACATACAGGTAGTTACAATAAAAAGACAGCACCAGCCCTTTCCTTACACATTGACTGTGAAGTAGGCCCAACTGTATTCATCGGATTTCACACATGCTCATTGCCATAGACTCATTTATGCTTTTCAACTTATCATAAGTACCCAGCTTGTTAATCAAAAGCCTGCCTGGTGCAGCTGATTGAAGTAAGTGTATGTTGTCATGCACACTGATGGGATTATTATTTTTTAAGATTTGTACCCAAGTGATTCTCAAAGTGGCTTACCAAAAAAACAAACACACAATTCAGCCCAGCAATGCTCTAATCCGCTGGCTGGTGTGTGCCCTGCTTCAGCTCTGCAGGTCAAAAATAGTATTTTTAAAATGATTAAACATTGGCAACCCACACACAAAACAGCCCAGTGAGGACTGGGTATGTACCAGGAGCTACAGGGGGGAAAGTTGGAAAAGAAAAGGTGGAAATCAAGAGGGGGTGAAGGTGAATTGGGCTGTGTGAGCCCCTAACACCAATAGTCTTCCAAAGGAAGGCATGGTTGCCTTGCTGGCTGGAACCCTGAACAGAATAGCTGTTGGGGGCTGAGGACATACTGCTACATTTTGATGCATGTCCTGCTTTTAATGTATATTATTGAGTACAACAATCTTGGAAAGGAAGGTCGTTATTCCCATTGTACAGATTTTAACTAGTTTTAACTAGGAAACCATGTGCTTTAAATGTACAGGGGTATGGAGGTAACAAATTGTCATGAATGCACAATATAAAGGGCATCTGGAGGGGCCCTTAGCAAAAGCCACGTTGTGCACCCAGGGCTAAGCTGAGATTTGGACCCAGATCTCCCATTCGGCACCATATTAATTAAAGACCACATCAGCTATTGCAAACAAAGATTTGGGGAAGAAAAGAAAGTTTCAATGTGGCTGATACGGATTGAGGCCAAGCCAGGGCTCTGTTGCAAGGAACACATTCAGAACCTCTGAAACCTGATGCAGCTTGAAGGCAGTTAGGGGTGGATGACATGGAGCACAGCTGTGGGCTTGTCAGCCAAGGTCAACACAACTCTGTTGGCCCCGTGGGTGGGGGAACACAAAGGAGTGCCCATTCTCACACCTGGCCGGGGTCCACATGGTTTGTTTCTTGGTTAACCATACTTTCTCAGTCCCCACAAGGCATTCCTGCCTCTTCATAGCCTAGTCAGAAGTATCCTGTATCCCTGAGCAAGGACCCTTCAGGAAAAACACAAGAGCTTTTGTATTCCACTTTCTTGCATGTCTACCCAGAATAAAAAATGCATGGGCCTTTGGTTACCAAATTGAAATGAGGTCTCTCTCCCACCCCCTTCAGCCAATTTCTGGAAGCTGTGCTTGGCATATCTTGCCAAAACCAAGAAACCCAACATTTGTATCTAAGTGGAACATACAGTAAATCTCTCCCATTCCCTCTGCTTGCATCTGCTTGAAACTTGGAGGGGGCCCTCCTTTTCATCTGTGTGTAGGTGGCTGGAACAGGGTCAGAAAGACCAGACATTAAGCTTCTCCCCCCCCTCTTGCCCCGCTACTGCAGGACCTGCCAATTGTCTAAGTGACCCAGCAACTTCAAAGACCAGTCATGCAACACCAGCCTAGTATGGTATCCCCATTTCCAGAGGACAGATTTACTACTCCTTCAGCCGACGCCCCTTCCTCAAAGCCAGCACAAGCCCCATTAAGTCTGCAGAGCCCATTTCAGATTTGGAGGCTCCTTCATTTGCCTGCGTGATTTATGAGCTTTCAGGAGTTTTTAAGGAATTGAGCGTCTTTAACTTGGGATTTGAATTTCATTGGAAAATATGAAAGTGATTAAGAGGATAGCTCCTTGGAATGTGGCTTGCGTTCCAGTGCATGGAGAGAGCAGATGAGACAGATCAATTCCAAAACCAATGACATGCCTAAATTTACTCATGAAACTCAAGAGAGACAAGAACTGGGCACAACTGCAGCCACATGGGCAGAGCTGTGTGCTTCCACAATGTTAAAGGGCTATGGCAGCTTCCTGAGTTCAAAACCCAGCAGATACGATTGCCACCCTGCCTGTGGCATCTCAGAATGAGCCACAAAGGCCCATCTGCACTATATATTTAAAGCAGTATCAAACCACTTTAAATAACCTTGCCTTCCCCCAAATAATCCTTGGAACTATAGTCAGTTAAGGGCGCTGAGAATTGTTTGGAGACCCCAGTCCACCTTATGGAACTACAATTCTCAAAGTGTTTTGACAACCCCTCTCTTTTAGCCCTGTGTGTGGACAGGCCATTTGTAATATAGACAGCTTAGTTTTGGCTACATAATGATGTGGGGCCAATCCAGCCATCCTTTTTGTTGTGCATTCGTGATGATTTGTGCTCACGATGCTGTCAGGGTGGATAGATGTGATCCTGCTTTCAATGCTGTTTGGGCCTGCAAATGTTTCAGGGTGGCTATGTTGCTTTGCTTCCAATCTGTGCTTGTTCCATAGCTTTCTGATGAAATCCTGTCACTTTCCAGGCCACAAATGTTCTGGAGGGGGGAGGATTGTCTTGTTTTTGCTGCACTGCAGCACAAGAGTGCCCCTCCAGACTGCAATAATGTTGTGACACTGGGGCACCACAGAACAACTAATAAAGGTGAATGGGGTGTGGATGGTCCAGTATAAATCCACCACGAATGTGCTTTTATTGTGTCAATGACATATTGCAGAAGTGCACCCACAAGAAGGCCCTGTCCTGAGGGGCCCCTGACATTCAGAGAACGAACGAGCTGCCTTACCGTAGAAGGGGAGTTTTGTTGGGGGAAATTTGTTTTTTAAAAGTGATTGTTTTGTTCATTTGTTTTCTTCTTTTTTAATTAAATTGTTTTGTTTTGTTTTGTTTCATATAGCAATACAGATGTCTGAGAGATACAGAAACTATCAATGGCTTGCCTGTTTGACATCGTACAGTCCACAACTTAAGAAAGAAAATAATGCAGAGTGAAGAAATTGTTATTTCACAGAGATAAAAACAATGCTATGAATAATAAGAGCATGATTCCATGGAAGCACAGCAGAGTCGTCAATAATTAGTCCTGGAATACAATCAAAACTAGATAACACTATACTTTGTAGGAACTAGGTTTTTTTTTAAGACTGAAGGTTCTTTTTTTTAAAAAAAAAAATCTGGATGTGTGTGTGAATGGCCAGTTCAGGGCGAGCGGCCCAGTTTTCCCCCAACAGCACTTGTTATAGATCCTTGAAAACATTTGAGAGGCACTTAACAGCATGTATCTGTCCTTTAGTTTCAAATCAATTGGATCAATGTGGCGAGCATCATGAGGCCATATGGATTTGTGACATACACCCATAACCCTTGCAAACCAGAAATCAATTAATGACCATCTTCTGTCCATAAAGTTTCCTTCTTTTGAGACAGATAACACGTTGTGGATGTTCTCCAGATTCATAGAATCATAGAATTGTAGATATTTGCTTTTTGTCAGCAGAGCACAACGTTCAAAATAGAGATAATGAAATAAATTATGGTAAATTGTCTATATTACAGGTGGGCAACCTGTGACCCAGGAAACACATATTCCTCCTATTATTATATTATTATTATTATTATTATCCTTGGTTCCTCCAAGCAGTTCAAGTTGGTCACATGGTTCTCCCCACTCTCAATTTATCCTCACAACAACTCCTCAAGGTGGGCTTGATTGAGAGGCAGCAACTGACCCAAGGTCACCATTGACTGAACGAGGATTTGAACCCTAGGGCCGTATCCAGTATTAGTCCTACTCAGAGTAAAGGTAAAGAGACCCCTGACCATTAGGTCCAGTCATGGCCGACTCAGGTTGCAGCGCTCATCTCGCTTTATTGGCCGAGGGAGCCGGCGTACAGCTTCTGGGTCATGTGGCCAGCATGACTAAGCCTCTTCTGGCGAACCAGAGCAGCGCACGGAAACGCCGCTTACCTTCCCACCGGAGCGGTACCTATTTATCTACCTGTACTTTGACATGCTTTCAAACTGCTAGGTTGGCAGGAGCTGGGACCGAGCAACGGGAGCTCACCCCGTCGCAGGGATTTGAACCACCGACCTTCTGATCGGCAAGTCCTAGGCTCTGTGGTTTAACCCACAGTGCCACCCGTGTCCCCCCTACTCAGAGTAGGCTTATTGAAATTAGTGGGCATGACTATCTCAATTCATGTATTGTTTCAGGAAGTGTGATTTAGGTAGGTTCACCTTTAAATAAGAACTGAATTAAATTTCTTCCCTAATAGAGGACACTCTCAACTCCTGCTGTAAACTAAAAAGAGAGAGTAGTAATATGATGGATATGCTGTCTCCTGATTTCAGCCACAAATCCACAGACACACCTTGGTGGATCACCTGAATAAAACTAATGAATCAGATTCCTGGAAATATGCTAATATTACATTGATACCAAAGCAAGATCAAGATCCAACTCAGGTTGGACTATAGACCCATTTCCTTGATCAGCTGTGACTACAAACTGTAGTAATATTAGCTAGGAGACAAATTAGTTTTAAAGGATTAGATACATGAAGATAAAGCTGGATTTCTCCCAACAAGAGCAATAAAGGACAATGTTAGAACTATATTAGATACTGTAGAATATTTTGAAAAGAGAAATGATAAGCAATTAGATGCAGAGAAGGTGTTCAATAATGTTTTTGGTTTTTTTTTAGTTTTATGGGGAAAATATTGAATATAATGGGCTGGGGGGAGAAAATTGTGAGAGGGATAAAGGTAATATATACAGAACAAATTGCAAGTATAATAGTGAATGGAGTGGTAACAGAAAAGTACACTATTACAAAGGGCACGAGACAAGGTTGCCCACTGTCACCATTATTGTTTATGCTAGAAGTGCATACAGGAGTGCCTGGCATGCTCTAGTCCATGGGGTCACGAAGAGTCAGACACGACTAAACAACAAGAAGTGTTATGCAGGGAATTAAGGGGAAATAGTGAAATACAAGGTATACAAGACTGTTGGATCTAGAAGGATATGGGAACAATTTGGGTGGCATGCTTACCTATGGTACGACAAGGTAAAAGGAAATAGGGATTTTTTGAGTCATTGTATAAGGAGAAGCTTATATTGAGTTTGGACTAGATACAGAGATTTATTTGAAAGGAAAACCCCTTTATGGTTATCACCAATAGTAGCTGGTGCATCAAAGAAATTAAATATGATGGAGAAGTGGGGTAAATATAGAGATATAGTGTGGAAATCTCTGTAAATTGAAAAAGAAATTGGAGATCAAATTGGTTATAATAACATCAAATTAATGAATATTTTAAAAAGATTTAGTAAAAGGTTTTACGGACCAAATATCTGATTTTTAAAAGATTCTGCTTGAAGGAAGAAAAAAACTGATTTCAAAAATGTTTAAACTATTGTTAGAATGGGAGACGAAAGTTGAAATGGTGAAATAGGTAATGATAAAATCGGCCAAAGATTTAGGACCTAATATAGAAATAAACACTTGAGGAAAGTTGTGGACAGTAGATATGAACTTCACTGCTTGCTATGATTTTAAAAAAAATTATATGAAAATGATGTATAGATGGTATTTAACACCAGATAAATTATCTAAAATGTATAACTGCTGGAAGTGTAAGCAAGCAGGTGCTCCTTTTTCATATATGGTGGATTTCCAAAAAAGGGTATTTTGGAATAAGATATACAATGAGATAAAAAATATGTTTAAAGTGAGTTTACCAAAAAAACACAACCCAAAAAACCCCTGAAGCTTTCCTGCTAGGGATTATGGGGACAGAAATTCCAAAACAGAATGGTTAATTTGTTTATGTATGTAACTATAGCAGCTAGGCTTCATTATGCTCAGAAATGGAAAGATGAAGAAGTAGCTGCTAAAGAAGGATGGATAAGATTCAGACTGTGCTGAATCAGCAAAGCTAACAGCTATACTAATCATCTAATGATGATTACCTTTTTGAAGAATGGAAGCCCTTTTCAGATTATTTGAAGAAATATTACAACATAAAGAATCCACAACCAGGTTTTGAGCTATGAGCAACAGAAAAAATTAGAGACTATTGTGTTATGATTATCATTAAAAAGGAATGAAGACAGGGTGCAGCAAAACAGGGACAAGGAAAACAACACAGAAGATGGGTTGGGAAGTGAGAAAAGAAATCTCTATTTAAAATGTATTGGAATTTTATCTTTAAAATTTTCAGAAATTTAATAAAAATGTTTTTAAAAATGAAACTCGTGAATCACTGGTGGTCCCCAGACCACAGTTTGTGAACACCCTGCCCTAAATAATAAAATTCAAAGAGGTAAAACCAATATAACTCTCTTAAAACAACACCATTTGTTTCTCCAACCTCAAGGTGCAATCCTCACAACATTTACTTGATCCTGATCCTGAAATCTGTTGTAATTACTTTAGAGTAAGCAGGCATAGAATCAGGCTGCATGTGAATCTGTGTGTTGAGTAAGGAGGCTTTGAATCCCCTTCATATCCTTTTTCTTCATTAATTACCATGTGTTTACTTATTAAAGGAGTGGCACACACCCCTTTTTAATCCGACTTCAAGCTTCCAAAAAAAAAAAAAAAAGAAATCAGCTTCTAGGGTGATGAGGCAGAAGGAATTTTTAGTGGGGTTATCAAGCTGTTAATGAAGAATAGAACAGGTTGGGATTTTTGCCTTCCTTAAATAACAAAACAAGGCTAAACCTTATATGGGAAAGCCTGCCAAGAAAATTAGCTCCTTTGAGCCAATTATGGATCTGTGACTTAGGAGGAGAACAAAGCTGTTCACAGTTAAATGCAGTAAAAAGTAGTAAATACAGGTTCTGAATTTTTTTAAAAAAAGTATGAGAAACAAAAAATCATGTGAGATATATATTGTAAATTTGTCCACCAGCTATGAAAAGCCCAGCAAATGGTTGCAAGGTAGGTATCTTGAACCTTTTCAGACCCAGGATCCACTTTTAACCCAAGCATGCATTTTTGTTAATATTTTGCCATAAATTTGCATGGTGGTAGTGCTCCTGTTGTGACCAACCTTGGTCACTTGTTAAAGACCGGCGATGTCATTCATGCTCCAGAGGGCTAGCAAAACTTGTGTCCCCTTAAAGACTGAGAGACTGAGTACACATTGCCAGCTTAAAACACAGAGGTCATTCTGTTTTTCAATTCGGATCAAAGCAGGTTTTGGGGGGGCGGTAACATACCAAAATGCAGTATTCAATAAATGGTGGTTTAGATACAGGACAGATACACATCTTTTTTGTAAACTGCTTTTAATATCATGGGGCACCTTGTCGAATGCCTTGCTGAAATCAAGGTAGGCTACATCCACTGCGTTCCCTTCATCTACCAGGCTTGAAATTCTGTCAAAAAACGAGATCAGGTTAGTCTGACATGACTTATTTTTCAGAAATCCATGCTGACTATTGGTGATCACAGCATTCCTTTCTAGGTGCTCACAGACTGTTTGCTTAATGATCTGCTCCAGAATCTTCCCTGGTATTGATGTCAGACTGACTGGGCGATAATTATTTGGGTCCTCTCTTTCCCCCTTTTTGAAAATAGGGACAACATTTGCCCTCCTCCAGTCTGCCGGGACTTCGCCTGTTCTCCAGGAATTCTCAAAGATGACTGCCAGTGGTTCTGAGATCACATCTGCCAGTTCTTTTAATACTCTTGGATGCAGTTCATCTGGCCCTGGAGACTTGAATACATCTAAACTAGCCAAGTATTCTTGTACTATCTCCTTAGTTATTCTGGGCTGTGTTTCCTCTGCTGAATCATTTCCTCCAAATTCTTCAGGTCGGGCATTGTTTTCTTTATCGGAGAAGACTGAGGCAAAGAAGGCATTGAGGAGTTCAGCCCTTTCTGTGTCCCCTGTTTGCATTTTACCATCTTCTCCTCTGAGTGACCCCACTGTTTCTTTGTTCTTCAAATCTCCACTG